GGTGATGTCAGCGGGATGGGGAGGAGGTGGGAAGGGCGACAGAACATTATCTGGCCCGAGTAGTGTCCTGGTGGGCCCTGGCAAAAGGAGGAGCCATGGAGCTTGAGCAGTGTGTGGGGTGAAGTGAACCCAGGAGCCCAGACCTTTGGCTTCACCCAGCAGGAGAAATAATAGCTCATCATAAACAGGATTGAGAGAGCTTCCCAGCACTGGGAGGAGAGGAACTTTTCCAGAAAACAGAATGAAGTAGTTGGAACAAGGGGAAGTGTCATAGCCTGTCCACAGCCAGCGATGAGAACCGGGACGTAACCCAGGAGCTCCTTGGATGCCCTCGCTGCTCTTCCAAGGTTCCGGTGGTGTCTTTCGGACCCATAACTCATCTGTTACCAGACCCAAGTTTAATAGCTGCTCTTCAAATCTGCTTAATGCGAAGCTGCCTGCAGAGTGGCAGCAATCAGAGAGGAGCAAAGAGGTTACGTGGCTACCGAGCGTGTGTTTCCCGGGGAGCCACGAGCTGCTTGCCTAACCCTGGCCCCTGCGTGTTTCTTGTTGTCTTGTTTTTCTGGCTCCATCAATTGAACTCTTGCTGCTTTTCTCAGAAAATGGCTCAACAGCTGAGTGGATCTTCTCCTCTGGGGATTTTCTTATATACAACACACTTCTCCCTGTCTCAGTTTCCTTCTCGAGCGAGAATCACGAAGGGCCCCCCCTTCTCTCGCTGAGCTCTCTAGATGGCTGTGTTCCCTCTCCTCGCTGTTTAGGCAAGTTAAAAATATTTAATTACCATTAAATGCTTACTGCGAGAGAAGATTGCTGTGCTGTTAAAACCGGAATGGACACGACTGGGGAGCAAATGAACTTTTTCAAAGAAAGGGTCTGAACATGCAGCACGCAGACCTGAAATAGGTCCCTCCCGCAGAAAGGCCCCGGGTGACCCATCGCTTGCCGGCACAATTACCAGAGTCTTGGCAGCTGGCAAGATCAGCAAATGGGGTTTATGTCAGAGCTTGTTACCTTAATTTGGTTAATTGTAGAGCAGAGTGCAGCTGAACAGCCAGTTCAAACCAGGTTTCAGATCACTGGGGTGCCGGGCATGGGCAGGGCATTGCCTAGAGAGCGGCTGCCCGGGCTGGGGAGGACGGGGGAGCCAGGAGGGTGGGCAGAGCACGAGGTGCTCTCCCTTACAGACCTCTTCGCTCTCTGGGAGCAGGCGAGGCCATGCTTGGCAGCCTCACTCATGGATTTGTACCTTCTGATTCGATCCAAAATCTGCAATTCAAGTCTTTAAAGTCTGGAGGCTCAAACTGCACGTTCAGGGTTGAACGACGCAGAGTGTCTGGAGCCAAGGATCATAACTCCGTTTTGACCAGCAGGTCCTCATGAGCGTTCGTATTAGAGGAAGGAGATAACACTGATGATGCTGAACCATCTACCCAGTATCCCCAGTCTCCAGCTGGGGGCAATAGCATCAGTGGGTAAGTGTAAGAACAGGGGGAACATGTGATGCTCGCTGGATGCTTTCTCCACCTCCAGTGGGCCTCTGGGTGATCTGCACTGGAGGAGGCATCTTTGACGAATTCCTTCTCCAGGGTTCTCTCTGATGAGTACTTGAACCTCTGTCTGATTGTGCCTGGTGCTGCTACAGAGATCAGGGCCACATGGACACAGTTCGAGCCCATCAACTATATCTGGGATACCTTTTTGGCATCGCTGCTGGAGCTTGGCTTTTTTGCCCCGAGATGCATAATGTGGTGCCAATTATGTCGGTAATTGGTGGGCACAAATGATTATCTCTCTGGTGGTCCACTGGCTGGCAGGGTGGGACAGAGCTTTGTGGTGACAGTGGGAGAGGACAGCTGCTCTGCTGAGATGTGATCTTTGGAGTGTGTTTATTAAGGAGCCCAGGCTCTTCTCTAGCAACCAGGAAGCGATAAAGAAGCAAAAGTTGTGGCAAAAGAGCATCATGGGGACACGTGAGAATGTGAACTTGTCCCCTTGGAGCAGGACGAGCTAGATCTCGGATCCTCTTTTTCTTTTAATAGTGTTGTGACATGTTGTTAGCCCATTTTACCATGCAAGCATAGAGGTGGGAAGTTTAGCAACTCGGTGGAAATTTTTGGAGAGGGCAGCGAGGTGTCAGCTCCTCGAGTGTTGAGGAGGAGCAAAAAGCCTCTTCCTTCCTAGTCTCCTCTCCTGGCTGCCTCCCCACTGACTTGCCACTCCTTTGCCGGCAGCTGCATTTCAGTGCTTCAAAGAGCTGGGGTAGGTGCGTGCCGCAGCGGGTGCGGGGAAGAGGTGTGTGAGTATTTAGTTATGTCCCACCCATCCATCCCTGCGTTGGCTGCCCACCCACAGAGTGGTGAAATGCCAGGCTTTGTTTTAATTTCTTTGCTCCCCTCCTCTGTACAGCCCAGCGAGGCACCGAGTTAGGCTTGGGCGTGATTCAGAGGCCGAAGATGCGGTTCCCAAGTGGGTGGCGCATCCTGAATGCAGGCATGTGGTTTCAAACTGGGGGCCACCAATGCTCTCCTCCCCTCTGAGCCGGCTGGGTGAGGGCAGCAGCCCAGCCCTTCCTCACCAGCACACAGTTTCTGTGTGAGGTTTGGGGAGGGCACACAGTGCTTGGAAAAAGGAATGTTTGGCCTGAGAGCTTCTTGCAATGACAAACACAGAGGCTCTCAGTGGAAGCTGGTGTCCAGATGTGGACAAGAAATGAAGATGTGAGCCCGCAGCTTGATGCTGCTTGTGCCCTGGCTGCTCCCAGACCAGAGCATCCTTATGGTGTGATGGTGATCCCTCAGGTGAGAGCTGGGCTACTGGCAGAGCAGGCACAGACCTCTGGGAAGAGACATCCCGAGCGGTGTTTGAAATGCTTGAAGAGCTCTCCTGCTCTCCTAGTCCATCCGTGTGCTGTTCCAGCAGCTAATTACAGCCACTGTTAACTGCAAGTGTATTTTATTCCCATAACAATAGAGCTGGAAAGAACTAGACTGGTACTTATCCAGGAGAGGCAGAAAATAAACTCGGGAAAGCTGAGCCCAAGGGATCCAGCAGAATGTGATACCATGCACACACCCACCTCCTGCTCAGCCTTTTTATTCACAGCCAAGCCCGGGCATTGATGCTAAATTAAGATTATATGACTGAACATATAAACCATGAATTAAGGTTAAATTTGCAGCATTTAGTCAGTCTCTTTGAATTTCCTGGCTTTCCTGTTCCACTCTGATGTACATCTTCTAACCTCAGCCTTTTGCTGAGGATAGTCACTGGCTGAAGGGGCATTAAATACAACGAGTACATCTCAAGGTAGGTTCACAAGAGACCTTCCTAGTGCAAGGAGCTACTGAGAGAGAGGGACGAGGCAACACCAGTGGATTTGGACGAGCAGAGCCTTGAAAAACTGGTGTTTCCCAGACGTCATTGTTCAGTGCATGTGCTGCTGCTCCTGTGCTCCTGGCTCTTTTGCAGCTCATCCCCTTGCAGATGGGATAGCAACTGAGCAGAGGGCAGCTGGTTTTCTGGGTAGTCTTCTGAACCAAGAGCATTTTGGATGCGGTGTTAGGGAACATCTTTTGGCCCTGGTTAGGGCACAGCAGAGTGGGAGAGACAAAGGAGGTGAAGGGAAGCAATGTTCAGGATGGAAAAGGTGGGGATATAGCAGGGAGGGTCAGGTAGGGAGGGTGAAAGACAGGATTTGGCTCCTCCATGTGCGCAGGGCAGCTTCATGGCACTGGCATGGATTTGGAGCAGTCCCTGGCAAAGTCCTGCGAAAGGAAGATGCGCCAGAGAGAGCAATAATGCTGTTGGGACGAGTCCCTTTCCCACTGTGAGAAAGATGAGTGCAAGGAATTAAAAGATCTGTGCGTGTGTATTTGTTACTCGGCCTCTGCAGAAGTGGCTTTTGGTGGCTTAGGGGAGCGAGAGTTGCCAGCACGAGGTGGGAAGAGAGACCATCCAGGGGAAACATGCCTCATCCTGCTCCTTTCTCCAGATGGGTACCTCGTGCTAAGAGGAGCAGGGTTAAGCTCCAAGCCCTGCTGACTGCCATGTGATGCAGTTGCTCGGGCGATTAATCAAGATCTATGCCCTAAGAGGAATCACATGGGCTTCGACAGGGCTCCTTGGATGCAAACGTGCCCGGCCGAATCCTGCCTCGCTCCCGCTTCCGTCCTCACCCTGGGGAGCATTGGGTCTGGGGAGGGGAGCGTGGTTTCGCCATCCCAGCCCCGCACCCAGGCTCCACATCAAAAGATGGGGAACAAAACAACTGCAGAGTGTTTTAAAGCAAAATAAATAAACGCTTGGCTGTTCCAGGAGCGTTCTTACCCAAGGTACAATCAAGTCATCTATTTATGGCTTTCTATTTCAAAAGCAGGTACATAACAGGAACTTTTGATATTCAAGCCCTAAAGAAGCTAACTTCTGATGTTCAAGCCCTAAAGAACCTGACTTCCCACAATCAAAGGGATTGTCGTAGCCCTCTGCTTTGTCAGGTGGCTGATGGGACTAGAGGAAATCCTGGGTTTCTGCTTTACTGGGTGGCCAGTGGAAGTGGAGGAAATCCTGGGGTTTTATCGAATGAATGCAGCTGTCAGTTGAGAGGACAATGTGACAATATCTCTTTGCATAGCATCTTCCAGCAGGAAGGTCCCCAGAACGTTTTCTTCGTAGGGCGATATCTGGGAGATTACCTCGGTGACAGCACGTTGCAGCGTGAGAAAGTCTGAGCGCCTAGTAATGACCATTTTCCTGAGACAAATATAATTGGGGCTAATTGTTTGGTGTGTTGCTCCTGAGGAATTACTCACTTTAAGACTGTCAGAATCGGCCCAATAGAAATATGTGCACATACTCTCTAGCATAAGTGTATCGGCATGATCATGAAGTAGCCCAGGAGCAGCTTTTTGCCTCCAGGTCTCTCTGTTTTGACGCACCCAGAGGCTCTTGGAGTTCACAGCCCATCTGCATCGATCCTGTCTTGGTTTTGTTCTCCGCAGGTGATGTGTCAAACCTGACTCCTGAGCACTCCTTCGAAGGCACAAAAGTAGACGTGGGGAACATCGTGCTGGCTTTGTACAGTGGCCTCTTTGCCTACGGAGGATGGTAAGATGCAGCCCTCTTTATCTTTTTTGTTTTCAATGCTAAATGCTGTAATCTATGCGTTTTTGTTTCCAGATTGCGTTTGTGGTCCAGGACTTTCTTGTAGCCTGGGCAATGAAGCAGATGCTTTGAGTTTGCTTAGTAGCGTTAACAGTCATACTTCACACCTTGTTTCCAGCCAGAAGCACAAGGAAGTGGAGGCGATGGTGGGATTCAGAAGCAGCAGCAGATGATGGGTGATGATGCACCATGATGCTTGGTGCAGCTCCTGGATGTGTTAAGAGAAAGCAGCAGGGTGGGTTTGGCTGGCAGAAGAGTGCCACATGCCAGCAGGTTATTTTGACCACCCAACTGAAGCTCCTGGAGGACTTGTTTATCAGTGCCTTTGAGCACTTGCAAGCCCAAGGAGCCTGCTCAACTTGCTGTGAAAACAGGCTGTCGCAGCCATCATTGTCACCTGGAGGGGTGGCCCAGCTCTGACTTGCAATCGCCTCTCCTCTTGCAAGCAATCTGGCAGCATGGTGTGCTAGATCCACCAGCACCATCCAGGGCTTGCGCTATGCAGGTTTTGTGCTGTAGGTCTTGGACCACGCATCGTGAGTTTCCTTAATTTTCCTCCTGGAATTCCCTTGCGGATGTGAACAGTTTCATTTATTCCATGGACTAAGCAGAATTAACCACTGTTCTTTTTAAATTACAGGAATTACTTGAATTTTGTTACAGAAGAGATGATAAATCCCTACAGGTAGGTGTATGTCCTTTGATGACTTCCCCAGGAAGAAAACCTGTTGTTCTTGGGAAGCCCTTTCCCCATGTGTGTAACAGGGCTTGCTAATCAGCCCAGGAGTCAAGGTCTTTTCCAGAGAAAACAAAAACTGAGATAGATTAGTGTCATTGTTCCTCCCTGGAATAGGGGAAGGGGAATAACGATCCCTGGATGAGCAGGGCTGTTGGTTACACTGCTTTCCTGTACTCCTAACATTATCAGTGCTGTTGGAAAGCTCTGCTTCCTTGGCCTGGCACCTCTTTGAGTTCTAGGTGAGGAAGAAGGACTCAGGGCTTTATTACTGCCTGGTATAAACTTTCACAAGAGTTGTTTGTGTATGTGTCATGTGCTCTTCCTGTGCTGTTGAGCAACAGCCGCTTTCTGCGCTGCTTATGCCCTTCCAGGGTCAGGCAGGGGACCTGGTGAGATGAGGATGGGACACACCAAAGCAAGACATCACTGATAAATCATTTTTGCTCATAGGGAAGGTGCCTGTGAGACGGTTTTGATACGAGCTTCAGGGTCTCTTGTGCAAGAACCCCTTTCCTGGCTGACCCTGGCAGTGCTTAGTGCCTGCTGGGAAGCATAAGATTTGATACGCCCTTTCCTTGACAAACACAGTTATAAAAAAGGGGTTTGCAGCTTGCAATTATTTTCGTGTCTTCTGAATGCAGTCATGGTATTTGACTCTCTCCTCCTGTGGCTTTGAGCTCCGCTAGACCAATTATACGTGGCATCAAGCAGGGTTTCCTTTTTCAGTTTCTGTTCACAAATGAAGTTAGACTCTTTGGAAAGGCAAATTTGTACCAACACAGCCTCGTCTTTACAGACCCGCTCAGACTGTGTCTGAACTCATTTTCTTTGAGCTTTGTCAGTCCAGCCAGCTGAAAGAGAGCTTTAAAACTGCTTGTAAAGCTCTCACCTTTCCATCTCCTGCAAGAAACCCACCAGCACAAATGTTTCTCCTTTGTCCAGAAGAGAATATATGTGTTAATGCCACTGGCTAGCAAAAGACTTGGGGGCGGGGGGAGTTTTTAATTAATTGCCTTTGCAGTGATCTTGGATTACTGCTTGCCCAGACAGCCAGCATCTCTGTGCAAGAAGTCCCTTCTGCTGTAATCCTGCGCTCTACACCCGCCAGCCTCCAGGCTGTTCCCCTGCGGGCATCTTCTCCACTCTTAGGGGAAGAGCTCATGGCAGGGAAACTGGATGTGCCGAAGAGCCAAAGAGGAGCAGATTTGCTCAAACCAACATTGAGTGAGCGCAGGAGGGCTGCAGCATGAGTTGGCACGGGCAGCTCCCTGCTCTGAACTGCAGCGCTCCATTACAATTTGTATTTTCTTCCTAGAAACCTGCCTCTGGCTATCATCATCTCTCTACCTGTAGTCACTTTGGTTTATGTGCTGACAAACTTGGCTTACTTCACGACCCTGTCGACAGAGCAGATGCTGACGTCCGAAGCCGTGGCTGTGGTAAGACACATGAGTCACATCAGACACGCACCTGTTTTCTAGGGCTGGTTAAATCACACTTTAAATCTCTGCGTCCGTCTCCTAGTTTATTCTGGGCTGATAAGGGCGCTTACAAAAAAAAAAGCTGATGTTTGACAGGAGATGAAGAGCAACTGTGACGGGAGCAGGGAAGAAGAGCGTGATACTAAGTGGGATTAATCACAGATAATAGTCAGGGTGGGCTATTGGTTAGGGCTGCTCTTAATTTGTAAATATGCAAGGTTGCTGCTGGCCTCATGACTTCTCATCAGTTACCAGAGCATGATATTTATGGGAAAAGGTCAGTCAGTCAATACTGATTGTTCTCTCTCTGTATCTTCCTTGTTTTAAGTAAGAGAGAAGAATAATACTTCTATGAATTAAAATACCATTGTGGTCAGAAATCCTGATTGCCTCAGAATTGAGCAGTGTGGTATGACCTTACAAAGTGAGCGTGACCAGGATTGTTCAGTGCTTCGGGGGCAATCTCCCAGGATAAGTTGGTCTGGCTCATTCAGGTGACGGTGCTACATCCTTTGGGTTAGTACCAAGCCCCCGCTCCACCCTGTGTCACATTGCTCCAGTTGTGTGCTTTTGCAAGTCTGGAAATCAGTGTAATAGCATGGGCATAAAACCTCACCGAGGCGGCGCAGGGTCAGTTTGTCATATCAAGCCCCAGCTCCAGGTTGCTGCATTTCTGCAGGGCTGCGTCCCAGGTACTTACTCAGCAACTGGCAATAACCGTGTGTCCGAACTTCCTCACGGTTTCCATTTGGTCTTGGAACTTTTGGATGGCTGTTCTGATAAACGCTGTGTCCCAACTTTGAAGGAAGGGCTTGCTGCTGGATTTTTTTTTTTTTGCAGTTGCACAACGTGCTTCTTCAGCAAATGGCAGTGTGGAAAACTCAGTAATAGCTTCAGCACTAAGCTGTGCCATTTGTTCAGATTTCTAAAAATGTTAAGTCTTTGTAGGCAGCTCTGAGTTCTTTTGGTCATTCTGGGTGTGAAATGTCTATCTTGTCGCCCCCTCCATTTAGGATTTTGGGAACTACCACCTTGGCGTCATGTCCTGGATCATACCCGTCTTCGTCGGCTTATCGTGCTTTGGATCCGTTAATGGATCTCTCTTCACTTCTTCCCGGTAGGTTTCTTGCTCAGTTCTGTGGGTTTTGTTTACAACTCCTGCTTGATGCCTCTTCCTTTGGAGTTGGGCTCCAAAGAGTGGCTTTGGGTAGACACAAAGCCTAGAGGGTCTGAGGGCCATGTGGGGAATGCAAAAAAAATTCAAAATAAAAGAAGTAAGACTTCAAAACCATATCCAGTTTAAAGGAAAGCTTTTCAGTGGTCTTAGTCTTCTGTTCCTCAGGCAAAGTCCTACTGAAGTTATTAGGATATAAACAAACACAGGCTTGGGGCTCAGTGATGTTGATTGAGAAAGTCGCTTTAATGAAAAGCAGAAACTTAAGAAATTTCAGGGCTGAGAATCCCTCGAGAAAGGATAGGGCAGGACGGTGACTTGAGATGGTTCCAGTCCTGACACACATCTCCAGGGTCATCCTTTAATTGCTCTCTCTGGAAAAGGGGATATAAATACATCTTTTCTTGCATTCTTTGTCCGTCTCCAGCCTTCCGTCTAAGCCTTTGCACTGTGTGTGTGCAGAACACCCCGTGCTGGGGTCTGGTCCTGAACCAGTGCCTGGCAGAAGGGGCACAGCTGGCGTCGGGCAAGGCTCCACTAAGGTGGAAAACCCACGTGGAGCCCCGGACTTTTCAGTCGTGCTGCCTCAGCACTGTCTTGGCCAAGCTTGGGCCGTCCCTGCTTGTTTTGTGCCGAAGACAAACCCCAGCCCGGGGCTGAAGGTTGCTGAGGTGGTAATTGCTCTGTCTCCCCGACCTCAGGCTGTTCTTCGTGGGGTCCCGAGAAGGACACTTGCCTTCGATCCTGTCTATGATTCACCCCAGGCTTCTCACTCCCGTGCCGTCCCTCATCTTTACGGTAAGCCCCTGAGTCTGGGCTGATGATCTGGTATTGAGAAACAGGTCAGGGTGGTTTGAGAGGGCTGCTTGGGTACCGTGTCCAGACACAGCCATTCCTGCCTGCACCTCCAGGAGAGGACAGACCCTTCTTCTCATACCCTCGTGTTCCACTTCTGTTTTGAAATCCCTCCAGGCACCAGTTGAAAAGAGCTTAAATAAGTAAAACATATTTAAGATGATTCTTTTCCTGGCAGATAGTTTTTCTAAAATACCTATGTTTAGTGTTGTAACGTACATGGGTTTGCCTCTTTTCTTTCCTAATTTTTTTTTCTGCATTCAGTGCATCATGACCCTGTTCTATGCCTTCTCCAACAACATCTTCTCAGTGATCAACTTCTTCAGCTTCTTCAACTGGCTGTGCGTCGCTCTGGCCATCATCGGCATGATGTGGCTGCGTTACAAGAAGCCAGAGCTGGAAAGGCCCATCAGGGTGAGAACAGTGCGGTAATTAATTGTGTGGTGGGTCCTCCCCGAGTCGTTAGCACCAGGGAAGGTTCAGCAAGTACGGCTGCTTGTCCTGGATGGAAGAGGATTGCAAGTGTGTAGGGGAAATGTGTTGTAGCTAATGCAGGTGTGTCCCTGCCACATGGAAATCTGCTGAACACGGGACAAAGAGCTGCCGTGGCTATGGGGACATCAGAGCGAAGGAGGCTCTGGGTGTCAGAGATGTGCGGAAGCCCTGTGGGAAGCTCTCGGCAACTAACATATTCCTCAGTACAAATCATGGGCTGTGGCTCTCAGTGAAACACTTTGTACTGTTGTGGAATTCGGTTGAAATAGTTGGGGTTTTTTTAATAAAGCAGACAAACCCATGCCTGAAGAGATGGGAACTTTGTTCTTTGTCCTTGGCCAGCTTGGCAGTACCGTGTCCCATCTGGGAGGAGGCCAAGACCATGTCAGCCGCAAGCCAGTCTGCCTTCCTTAAAGGCATGTTTCTCACTCATCCCCCAGCACGCTCAGGTTGCTGCCAAATGGGCAGCCAGAGAGAAGCAAACTCCCAGACCTCTCCCAGTGCCTTCCCAAAGTAACTCTTTGCAGGGTGTTCCCTTTGTTTTCTTCTAAAAGCTGGGGTTTGGTGGTGGAGCACGAACTCCTTCCCTCCCCAGGCTGCACAGCTTGATAGACTTCACTGGAAAGGGTCTCCTGACGCAACTTCTAAGCTGTTTGTTGGGTCCTTGTTCAGGTGAACGTCTGCCTGCCCATCTTCTTCATCCTGGCCTGCTTGTTCCTCATTGCTGTTTCCTTCTGGATGACGCCGAAGGAATGTGCGATTGGCTTTGCAATCATCTTCAGCGGGATCCCTGTTTACTTCTTCGGGGTCTGGTGGCAAAACAAGCCCAAGTGGGTTCTCCAAGGCATCTGTAAGTATTATCAGTGAAGAGAGCAAGGGTGCAGCCTTGCCTTTTGCTTCCAAAATAGCTTCCCAGCGAGCATGCTGCAGCTGGTAGCACTTTGTGTAGTGGAGGTTCCCAATGCCTTGGCTCTGATCATCTCTTTTAACGGTAACAAGTTTTAACCTGACGATGACCTGATCTACTAAGCACCCAAAACGCTCCGTGACTGGTGGTAGTTTGAAAGCTTGGGCCAAATAGCATGTTTGGGTTTTTTTCATCTTGGCGAACGGGAGGTTGTTACACAGGGGAGCGTAATTTGTTGAGCACGTTGCTCAACTGCCTCTTGGAAAGGCGCAGGGTCGAGCCTTTTGTCAGCAGAGAATCCCTTTCTAGTGGCGTGGGAAGGGAAAAGGAGTAACAGCACAACAGTCTTAGCGCAGTTGGCCTCAATTTGGCTGCTGAAAATTCGGAATTAGTCCCAATCCATCGCTTAGCCCATGCTAACAGTTCTGACCCAGTCAAAGCTCCCCTTGGCATCAAAATGTGGCAGCAGAGCAGAGAGAGGGAAAAAGCCCCTGGATGTTTTCTCTTAGGAGGTTTGTTTTCTAAGGTGTATTTGTAGAGGGTTTTCCAACCGCTGACACTACACCACGGTGTGTTTTGTAGGGCTGGGAAGGCCGTGCTTGGCGTGTGTAACCTCTGTCTGAACAACTGAATCAAGAAAGTCAATTTTGTCCAAGTAACTAAACTCTACCATCTGCTTCCCAGGTCTCATACAGCAGGCTGACCTAAAAAGCAGACAAACAGAAATGCCCAGCCATAGCTGGATGCTTTTTATGAAGCAGAAAAAGGCTTTCAACAGTGCTCAGTACTTGTTTTTATTTTTTTTCCTCTCCTCTCTCTCTCAAACACTCACTTTTTAATTCTGTGTATTAGGCTCAGTTCCTGGAAAAAACCATTTTTGCAGTGCCTGGGCGTCAAATTACCATATTAATTGTTTTCAACCACCAAAGGCTTGTAAGGAGAATAGAAAATATTCTGGGAACACAGAATGATAGTCCTGCAAATGTCCAGTTAGAAATACAGGAACTTGAAACACTCAAGTATATTCATGTAGAGCAGATAATTTGACCTCCAGCTGATCTGAGTTTGGCCGTGTGTGACGTGGCGAGACGACCTTGTGATCTCCACTCACCCAAGCAGTAGAAAGCACAGATGGGTTTGGATACCGGCTACCAAAAGTAATGAGTGGAAAAAGACAGTGACTTCAGTTTAGCACCTTTCCTGGGCAAACTTGCATCTGAAAGGCTTCCTTTGCTCTTCACCTGCTCCGTGCAAGGCAGTGGACTCTGCCTTGTGTTCAGTACCCTGAGCTGGTTTTGTCCTGGGTACTTGAGCCGTTGGAGAAGCTGTGTGTGCACACAGCCGAGGCTTTCAAAATCACAAATAAAAGCATCGGCTCATGTTTCCTCAGCCCGTTCTTGCTATCGTGCCTGACTCAGTTTTGGCTGCTTGCAGTTCTGGCATCCAAACGTATTTACCGTACCAGCGGGCAATCAGAAACTGGTGTCAGGAAGTACCGGAGCCTCTCTCGGGGCAGCACAGCATCCGTGCTGGAGGAGCAACGCTCCCGGTGTTATTTGTTTAAGTTCTGGGCATGAGTAGAGAGTCGCCCGTGGCTCATTTGCTTTTAAGTCTTAAATTGTATTTGGACTTTCTTGCTCAGCACCACAGTGGTGGGATCGGCCCTGGTGTCATGAATGGAGACCAAGATTCGCGTTGGGCCCCTGCCTGTGGTCTCTGACCTCTACTTTCCTTTTTTCCCCATAGACTCCGCGACAGTCCTGTGCCAGAAACTGATGGAAGTAGTTCCGCAAGAATCGTAAAGTGGCAAAAGCAGGGACATTCAACTCGAGGAAACGCACAATTATTATTTTTAAGACGACACAAGGAGAAAACGCTTCTTATCCCTCATCAACGAAACCCAGGCACCGGAGCGCCTCAGTGGAGCTGCTTCGTGCCTGACACCATGCCCCCAGCTCTGCCTTGCCTCCTCCAGCCCCTCCATCGCCACCTTTTAGCTTGGCAGACGAGCAACCCCGCGACGAGAAGTTCTTGGTACGAACATGGGCTGGGAGGAATTCCCGCCAGCAGCTTCGAAAGGGTCCTGCCTGTCCTGCAGCAGCGTCTGTGTGTGTGTGATACCAAGGGCTGTACTGCAGTTCTGTGTAGGCTTACTTGGCTCAGATCTGGGATCCCCCACATCTGATCGTGAGCCTGGTTTGAGTGGTGCCAGCTGTACAAACGTGCCTGGGGCTGGAGCTTGGACTGTCCCAGAGCCACAGGGCGGTCTTGAGCCTGGCCCACCTGCCTTACCTGGTCAAGGAGGGGTGGTTGGGAAGCAAAGGTTGGCTGATGTTGGCTCACACACACACAAACTCATACCAAAATACGTGCTGCTGGATGCTGTGGATTCTCTTGGCTGGCAGTGGCTTAGGTGAGACAAGGCAGAGCAGAATTAGTCAGAAAAACGATGTGGGGAGGCCTCGTCTGACTTTCATCGCGTTCCTGACTAGAGCATTCGGGGTCCCCTGCCACCGTCTGGCTTTTTACTCTCAGATCCAAGCCATCTCCCTGCTACTGAGCCGGTCCTCCGGGATGCTCTTCCCCAGAACGCCCATCCCACGGCCCTGTGAATTAGCGCTGGGGCAGGTGCAGGCCTGAGAATGGAGTTCCTCCAGATAAACCCAGGGAATTGCAGTTACCAGAAGGCCAAGTCCTTGGCTTGCTCACTCCATGGTGTTTCTGTAGATGGGCTTTCATCCAGCGTGGGGTGAGCAACGTCACGCTCTCCAGACGGCCCTGGTCATTGCCCGCAGCGCGATTTGTGTTTGCCTCTAAACCGTTCGCAAAGGGGAAATAAGGGTGGGATTCCTTGGGCTCGTTCCCTGGGTCCTGTGTGTGTTTTGCCTGTCGCCGTGCCCTTCGTATGCCGGGTCACCTCTAGAAAGTGCAGCAGAGGGGAGACCAGCTGGGTCTGGGCGTGTGGAAGGGGTGGATGTCCCCCCACGGCCGGGGCCTGGCTTTAATCTCGGTCTGCTGTCGATGGTCTGTTTTGCTCTAAGAAGGAGGGACCAGGGGCTCTGCTCCTCCTTCGTGCAAAACTGCGGCATCAGGTTTTGGCTTGGTGAGATGCGCCCACCAACATCCTCCCTGGCTGGGAGCGGTCTTTGAGCATAAACCGCACGTGAAATCTTGTTTTGCTGTTGTGGGTGATGCTGTCCCATCTCCTGAGCCCACCCCAAATCTCTCTAGTTTCCAAGTAGTCAAAAACCGTCCTCTTAGGAACTTGTCACTTTATTTGCTCAAAAGCATCACTTTTCCAGCAAAACTGCAGTTCTTGAACAATTTGCTCGTTGTGCCTCTGCGCTCAAGGTGATAGTCAGTTGGAAATCAAAAACACCTTGTCCTCACGAGTGAGCTGCTTCACTCTCTCTTACAGATCTTCTTTGTGCTCGTGCTTTGTGCAAAAAAGCTGTTGAACTACTTTTTCTCCTTCACGTTTTTGTAAATCAAGCTGTTTGGAAGCCGGGATCCTCTAAGAGCTAATGCTTTCTGCTGGATTCTCCTCGTAGCGTAGAGTTATTTTGGATGAAGAGGCATTAAGGACACCAACGGTACTAGCTCATGCTTTGTCCTTTTCAGTTCTTCAGCACAAAAAAAAAAAAAGCCAAAAAAAAAGAAAACGTCCTTTACAGCAGGTGGCAGCTTCTGTTGAAGTGTGTGTGACAGTGACCGTGGCTACGTCAACAAGTGTTTACGTGCAGCTTCTTGCTATTGCTTCTCTGCCCATGCGTCCTTGCTTCGAGGCAGTGCAGGAGGAATAGGTGAGACAATCATCACGCTGAAAACCTTTGCTGTCAGGTCGCTTATTTAGGGATATCCAGCCCAGAGCGGCTGCCGCTTTACATGTGTTAGTGTTGAGCTCTCCTGGAGCTAAGTTAACGTGGGGAGAGTCGCAGCCAGTGTGGGTAGATCTACAGCGCAGAAGAACCCAAAGTTTATGGCCAGTGCCTGGCTGTTCAGAGACCTACGTGCAATGAGTTGGAGCAGCTTGGAGCCGGGGCCTCCAAAGAGCCATTGGCATAGATAAGGTCATGATCCACGAAACCTGAGCTTTAGTTTTGGAATCTTCGTCCAGCTGAAGGCTGAGTTGTTTGGGCAGGCCAGTGGTGGGAAATCACTGCTTGTACTGGACCTTTTTCATGGAGAGAGGACCTCAGTCTTTCACCTTCCACTTGCTCTCCAGGTGGTTTTTTTTGGCTGTAGTGGTCTCAGGGCCTGGGGTCAGCGTAGAGGCTCTCAGTGCTAATATATACCAGCAGCATTACTTGCGATGTAAAGGGAGGGGATCTTTAACTCTCAGCCAGCTCAGTCCAGTGGAAATTAACACTTGAGCCCTGTCCACAGAGAGCTCGGAAATGGGTCCAAATCTCCCAGAGGCATGGGGGTGGCTTGGTTTGGACACATCTTTAAATAAGTTTCATCAGTGATGAAGACCCCTCACTACATGATATCCTCGTGGTGATTTTGTCACACCGGTTTTAAAGAGGAGATGTCACACTGAGAAATATATATATTTTTTTTTTAATTAATCAGCTGATCTTGATTAAATCCTTAACTCGCTTGTGTGCTCTTTCATGATTTTTCACTCGCTGCTAAAGATCTTTTCTCTTGTACTAACATGCTGGCTCTAGCATTGGTACCATGTGTTTCATGGTGATCTCACCAGCGGCTCCTTGGCAATAGACTATAGGAAGAAACTGAACCAGGTACCAGTTCAGAATGACAAAAATGCTGAATTCGCTCAGCCACAGCTCACATCTCAAAGTCTACCTTTCAAAAACTTGTTTTCTTTTTATCCCTGATTCGTTGGCCCCACTAGTTCCTGTCCACCAGAAGCTGGTGACATGGCTGTAAGAGGTGGGGTTATTTTCCTTGGAGGTTGGGGAAATAACAAGTGAAGGGGTAAAACCGAATCGAATTTTATAAAGAAAACACAATAAAGTCACTTCTCCAAAGAGGAGGAACGCTGCCAACAGCATCTGCTGTCCAGCCCGACAGCTTGTAACTCAGCTCAGCTCAGCAACCAGGAGTGTCTGGTGCCCTCGGGGGCTGGCCACGTTTAGCTGGGTTTTGGGAGGGAAAAAAAGAGAATATATCCCCGCGAAAAGACCTCCTTGCTTGTTTACCTCAACTGTGGAATGAGATGTGTCACGGAGGGCAAGGGGAGCAACAGAGCCTTCAGAGAAAATTTCTCGTCGTTCCCAGCCCTGGATGTGGGATTTTTTTTCTGTTTCTCTGTCTGCTTGTGCTCTCTCTCGAGCCCGTGATCGCTCATGCCTGTTCCAGCCCACCAGGGGAGAGAAACCCTTCCCGCAAGGGACACGTTCGACCTCAGTGACCGCGAGTTTGCTTTCCTCAACAAGCAGTTACAGCGAAAGGAGGTTCCACGTGAATCTGTTTCGTATGACGGTGTTCTGCAAGTACAGCCGGAGCGGTTGCGTCAGTGGAATCGCAGAATCATTAGGTTGGAAAAGACCTTTAAGGTCATCGAGTCCAACCTCGAACCCGTGGCTGCGTATTTCTGCAAGTGCTGGCTGTGCTGCAGTAGCCTTTTGGTCCTTGTACTAAAACTCGCTTTTGGTTACTGCTGCTCTCAGCTCGTTTTTCAGTATTCGTTTGGTTGGTTTGGGAGCTCCCGGAGCAGCATCCCGCAGGGATTGTTTAACTCGGGCAGGGCTCTGCGGGAGTTGTCTGCCGGGCGTTTCCTTCCCCATTGGGTTCCTCTTTCTAAATGAGAAACCTTCCCGGCTGAGATGCAAACCAGCCCTGCAAAACGTTCCTGGCCAAAAATGAGGGGGGGCAGAAATTAAGTTATCCTGGGTGGATTTTTATTTATTTTTTTTTTTAACTTCCTGCAGTATTTGCAGTGTTCTCCATCTCGGATGCTGTGTTCTAGTAAACACACCTTTGTTTTTAACAGCACCCTCTGTGGCTACTAAGTTCAAAGGGACTCTGTCGCTGTTGAACCAAGGTTTAAAGGCCCTTCAGCTGGATTGAAACTTGTAGGAAGTGGCTTTGTTGTTCTCCGAGCCCTCTGCCTGCGAGTAGCTCAGGCCGGGGAGTAGATTGGGCTCCCCTGTGGGCTCCTTGGCTGTGACTTCCCACCTGCGGAGGGACAGTTGCGGCGGCAGAATCGCGGTCTGGCAGCAGGGAATCCCAGGGAAGGCTTCCTCTCGGTACCCGTGCCTTCAGCCGAGGCTACAGTGTTCTCGGGCTTTAATAAAAAATAAAAATTAAAAAAAAAAATTAAAAAAAAATTGAGGAAACAGCCAAATGTTATGATTGCGCAACGCTCCGGCTGTTTGGGGGCTATTCTTGTGGGCA